TAACGTCATTACTGGCTCGGGAGCTCCTCAAGTCCAGTAGGCCACACAGAGCATGTGTGGCACTCCTTAACTTGACTGCATTTGTTTTCAGCTTGTTCTTGTAGCTTCTATCAGTGACAATCAATGTCCACAGAATGGAGTGTATCAGTGGACAAGTTTCGTCGAGCGATTCTGCCAGCTGACCAAAGAATGTTTCCGGCACATCATCTATGACTCTGTCCCTCACACCGATGTTTACCATGTTTTCAAACATCTTCATTTCCTCTGACAGCTTTGTTCTCTGCTCTAACGATAAGTGATACCCACTTTTTGCATCTTGAAGGAGGCTGTCAGCACGTTCCTTGTACAGTCGTACAAGGGTGGAAACAAGTTTGTTCCTTTTGTTCCACAGGTCAGCGAAATGCGAACATGCCAGCTGCTCTCCGCCAAACTTGGAGACGCTTGCCCAGCTTTCCTCTAGCTCCCGGTCAACTTTCTCGATCAATGTCCTGATGTTATCTATCTGATCTGTGTTGCCCGCGGGTGTCTGTAGATGATCCAGCACTGCTGGCTTCCACCGTAAGCCTAACAGGGTCTTGCTGTGCTTCATGTAGTTAGCAGTAAACATAGATTTCACCAGTCTGACAACTGTTATTCCTGTGATCATGTCAGTGTTGGCTAAAGCCTCTTCCTCTTCCTTGCTCGAAGAGTGTGCTGCCATTTGTTTGCAGTGGGCTTGCACCTGGGAGAGCAAATGTTCCATTGAAATGCTGTGTTCTTGACCACCTTCCTCCAGTCTTTCCAGTAGGTAGCCCCGTACAGCTGAACATCTTTTTCTTCCTCTCTCCTGTCAGCACTTGTCCGTTTCGAAGAAGGCTGAGGCAGAGACTTGGAGTTTGGTGTCAGCAGCCGCTTTTTGTCCTTCCTTGGTGTTGTAGTCGGTGTAGTTGCTAGTGGTGGTGACTGCTCCGGTAGCAAGCTGGCCACTGGCAGGCTGTCCTCAGATGCCGCTTCTTTGCATGTCCCAATCTTCTTCGTTGGGGTTGTTGATGGGGAGTGTTGTGGTAGCAACCTGGCCAGTGGTTCATCATCCGATGACGAGTCACAATCATCCATTTCTGTCATTAAAAGATATATATGTTAACAAGCATCGTCAGTTCTTCATCACCATGTACTTTACAAACTTTGTAAATCTAATGCCCTACTAGATTGCATATCAGACTGTAAGCCTTCCATCAGATATATCCTAGAAATTAAAAAATAGACTACAAAATGGAACCTTCAGAGAAAGCATTTCTTTCAAATTCAACACACCAAAAGAAAGTAACATATGAGCTGTAAAGCATTGTCTCACCTGAATTTCAAACACTGCTCCCTTCCATCAAGTCAGTACAAGAAGTCTGAACGTCTCTGGCCACACCTAAAATTGAAAATACCATTAGGGTAAGGAAAAAACATCTTTTGGGCCATGCATTCATTCATAATAAAAAAGATGTGGCTGTAAATGAAATGCTAAATCACTATTTAGATCAAAGACTGCATCCAAAATTGTTACTAAAATGTGTGCATTTAGGGGATGGCTTATATTTAATTATCCATTTCTAAATTTAAAAAAATTGACATTTCAGAACAAACTATCAAAGCTAAGTGGTCTTGCTGAAAGGCCCCTGGCTGAATATGGCAAGCAATGAGGTTTAAATATCTTTGAGCAAGTAATTCTTAAAAAAATGCTGGTAAAATTACTTTTAGTAAGTTTTACCATGCTGATTAGCTCCTTACTTGTTTAAATGAAAGTAAAATAACAACGTACAACACCCCACAAAATCTATCCTAGAAATAGAGCACTGGAAATAGAGTGCAAAATGGAATGTTTTCAAACAACGCAGCCAACCTTGAGGCGTTGCCAAAACACCCCCCCCCCCCGTCCCATGTGAAATTACTACAAACTTTCCAGGTCGCAACACTGATGATTAGCGAAGTTGCGGAGCAAAAACATATCGCCACCAAATCTATGTATATCAGAGTACAAGTTGATAAAATATTGAGGTACAGGAGGGACGTTATGTCTACAAAAAAACGCCATGAACTTTGAGCAAAATTTACGAGATCGTAAACAACATGGCAGCCATCTTGTCAAAAAAATAACACCCAAGTTTAGCCTACCGCCACCACCTACTTTGATACATATTATCCAAAATTTTGTACCGACGGTAATCTATGGTCAACATAATATGGCTACGAGTTGATACAAACGTGTAAATTTTTCAATTTAAAGTAAAACCAAGGCGATGAAAGCCGTACATATGTAACTTGCATAAATTAGCACAAATTTTCTACAGTTTTCAAATCGCCATCGCCTACCACTAAATGTTATTCACATATATATTTACCTTGTTCCAAAGGCTACATACACCAAAGATAGCACACTGAGATTTCTATAGCACTCAGATATCGATAACATATGAAAAACTTACCTCAAAAATCGACGACTGTCATGCAAATATGGCGACTCTCGCCGACCAAATCTGGCAGCGTCTGTTGCATTCCAAAACGTGGTCCATTCCAAATCATGATTTGGAATAGAATGCACCTGCATTCCAAAACGTGGTCCATTCCAAAACATGATTTGGAATAACACGAAGTGGAATGCCTGTTGCATTCCAAAACGTGATGCATTCCAAAGCATGACTTTTCGTAATCACGTGTCTGGGGGCGGAGCCTCGTACTTAGGGGGCGGAGCTTCGAACTTCTGAGGGCGTGGCTAAATGATACGTGTCTGGGCATGTTTTGTAACGCTTAGCGTTCCATTATAGCTACAGGCTGTCAGACGTGTAAACTTTAATGATGAAATGGGAGTCTCAAAATGTCACACGCGCGTTTTAGAATACCTGTGTCAACTATCTAAATCATGATTAACGTCAAATATTTCCCAAAGTTTCAAATTGGTAGCTTTTGCCCATGCTGTCGGCCTCTATATTTTGACCTTCTAAACCTCCTCGGTGTTAGTCACGGCATGCCCGTCGGACACCGCACACAACTATGCTTCGGCCGTGTACTGGCGGTAACCGAAGCATGGCTCACACGCAACTGTGGCGGCCATCCCTTTCACAATCTAAAAATTCATCAACAAATGTTCAAACTCAACAACTCCACACAAACTGTTGTTGTCGAAGCCCTTTCCCAAGCCCACATGTCTGAAGCACGTTTTGGAATATTCCATTTCGTGTCTGAAACATGTTTCGGAATATTCCATAACGTGCCTAGAGAAAGGACATGAAATGGAATATTCCAAAACATGTCTGGAGCACGTTTCGGAATATTCCATATCGTGGCTAGATATCCCATATGGGCCGTGGAGACCACATTCTTACAAAATTAGGCTTATTTGCGTAATTCAGTGACACAAAGTAATGCTAAATATTTACAAACTTCACTTAAATATCAAAAGTTTTAACTAGAAATGAAAGCTCCTTGCTATAAATTACGTTCTCTCTTCTATGTATAAACAACTATCACGTGATTCTATTAGCGGGAAAATCATGAGAAACGGATGCGCGAGCGTCCGACCATTTAGGACCGCACACTGATGAAGATAAACTCAGACCAGAACCAGACTATGAAACATCATACCAAGAACATTATCGTACTGTTCATTGACGTCATTTTCCCCATACAGCTCGAACGTACTAATACCTTTGGCACGCTAAGTTCGACGACATGTTCAGACAAGTAAACACGACGTGATTTAACACAGTATCTGTATACAGGCAGCCAACGGACCAAATATGGAAACTTCGGAATGAATAATTAATCACCACTCCTGTCAATCATTTGTGATTGACAGCATGGCCGGTCACGTTTTAGAACATTCCAAATCGTGATCCAGCTGCGCCATATGATTTGGAATACAACATGTGGAATGCCTGCTGCATTCCAAAACGTGGTCCATTCCAAATCATGATTTGGAATAACACGTTTTGGAATGCAACAGCGTCCGCCCGCGCCACAAACTCTCGTCCCCAGGACAGTTCACTCTGCTACCCAGCATGCTTTGCGCAAAATGCGTTCTCGGCCCCAGGACACAAATACACGCTAATGCTTCCGCACTGTGTTGCTCTGGGGACCCCGCCGCGCGCCCAGATGTGGATTTAATTATAGCGCGCTAGCGGACGCTGCGGAGGAGCGTGTCTTGCTGACATTCATTCTCCTTCTGCACCCAACGTCTTTCATGGCCACACCGACACACCATTAATTTTATGGATGGCATGGATAGATGAAAAAAAAATCACGTCCTCCGATGCTCTGGCCCGGGTAGTCCATGGTAGTTAGCAACAGTACAGAGCTGGTAGTAACTATAGAGGGTGGCACCCAGGATACCGAAGCTCCACGACTCAAGAACTCATCAGTACATAGAACGATTCATAAATTTCGCAAAAAAGCCAGCATCTGCCGGCTTGTCGTATACGTCGTTATGTACTGCCGCAAATTCACAATACCAGCGTTGAGATCCATGTGGTTTAGTAGCATTTTTATTTTTGGCCAGAATGTTTTTTATTCCCCGTGAGTTCTAGTTTGGGCGTCTTCAGAGGATGTCATCCATAAAATTAAGTCGATGTGGCCTTAGGTAATTAGGTGCACCAGTTCCCATGTTTTAAGTCATGACTATTTGGGAGGGGTTGAAAACTGAAAATGACACGTAGGCACCATAACCTGGTACTGATGCAGATTATGGTGTTTTATAGGGCTGCATGAGGATAATATGGACATACAGAATATTTACAATGACCTCACAGGCGCCTAATGATAGACGTGGGAGTTTCCCTTTCCAACAGATTACATCGAAGCATCATTGACTGTGCACAGGACTTTGAGGGGTATTACAACTTCACCATCCAAATTCTTTGTTCGAAATCTTTTTACAGTGACAGTTTCTTTCCCCGTACGGCCAAGCTTTAGAATTCCCTCCCTGACAAGTGTTTCCCACCAACCTAAAATCTACAGGCTTTCAAATCAAACGTCCACCGCCATCTCTTGACATAGCCATGTTTCTCTCATATTTCTCGTTCAATGCCGAGAAGTGGTCGTATAGGCCTTGCATTGAATCACTCATTTTTAAAAAAAAATTACTTAACATTGCAAAAAAGTGTTATTCGGGAAGTGGAGTCCAGAAATGTGAATTGACGGCACAAATATGTCAAAAACTGAAGGTAAATGATAATCATTTGAACATATTTCGAATTAAAATATTTCACTTGTTTTGCGCAAAAACATATTGTAACTATACGCGTATGGTACTCGCCCCTGTGATAGTGGACTATCCCGAGCTACTGAATGCATGTTAAACGCGTACACGTAGTCTCAAGTCAAGGCTGTAACATTTCCATAACTCTGCCGGTGTGGCATCATCGCCCACTTCTACAGCCCTGGGGAAATTAGAGGCAGAAGTAGTTACATGAAGAAGGCTGGAAATACCGGCTGCATATGCACTTTTGAAACCCCCAAATTGGTAGCCTGGTTTCCAAACCTATTATTATAGCTGCCGAGTATATTTAGTCCTCTATTTCCGGAGAGGGCGAAAGAGACTCGGCAGAAAAATATAGGTTTGGTAGCCAGGCTATACATTGGACTTCTGCACCTGATTTTTAGTGGTGGTGCACCCTGATATTTGTGCACTGAGTACGCAGCATATTCTTGGAATCATTTTACTGGTTATTTGAAAGCAGCTATCGAATTTCATATTCCAGCTCTGAAGAGAGGCAATAAGGTTTTTAATCAACAGAAGAATAAGAAGAATAACTTTAGTGCACGGCAATTGTAACTATATGGCACACTGTATGGCAAGGGCTATTGAACATAGTTTTTCTTTATTTCATACTGCGCATCAAAAGTCTTTCCTGATTTGCAGGTTAGGTAACTGCGTGCACCTTACCTTAGACCTTAGATCCCTCCGCAACTTTGGTGCACAGGTCGACTTGGCGGCAAATTTCCTTCCCCCAAAGGTTGCCGGTCGCGGTTTGGAGTCGCTACCTCCATTTTCTCAAATTGTATTGTTCCTCGTAAAATAATTTCTTTCCAAGCAGATCTTTTGGTGGCAAAACGGTAGCTGTATGGCAAATGTATACTGCCTGGTCAATTTGACACTGTCTTTGCAGCCACAAAACATCTGCTTGGACATTATGATTTTTGGTCGTCTTCTGGGATTTGTACCTTTTTATTATGGTTTCCTAGTCATAGCAAGGAGGACCTCCTTGGCCATAGCTAGCAATTTTTCTTTGCATTGTTTATTGTAGTAACACTAAGAGGTGGGAAATGTGCTCCTTGCATAAGAACTTTATCTATTAGATGATCATACCAGGAAAAGCCAAAGTGCACCAGTTCCCTAAAAATGAATGCGGAGCCCTGATAAAAGACCCCACACCATTCATTTTTCTTTCAGGTGTTTTGAACCGTCTACGACGTACCACGTCTAGCCAGAATGTCTGGCTAGAATACTATAATTATAGTGCCAGGACCAACAAAAGTACAAAACCTGTATGTATGTAATGCTAAAATTACACCCAGAATTTCACACATCATTTACGATGTCCTTGCGCGCTGCGCGTAAACCGTTGCAGAGGCCAGGCAACTGGGATGAGGAATGAGCACCCTCACTGGGACGTACAAATGTATATATTTCCCCATAGGTACATTCGCACACGCCCACTCACACACGCAACAAGCTTACAGAGTGACTCTAAAAACCATTTACATCTAAGGGACCAGGGTAGGAGGCAATAAGATCCCCGCATACCAAAGCCATTTGCGACTATGGACTCCCATTTGTCGAGAAGCCCACACACACGTGTAATTTCGTGAGGATGACATTTTTCTCTTCCGGTTACCGAAGATCACACCTGATGTCACTGGTTCTGCGCGGTGTAGGTCTCGCGCGGCGAGGTAAAAGCAGGGAAATCCGAGGCTAATCACCACGGGTAGCACTTTGAAGCCAGTCTGACTACAAAGTTAATACCCCATTTTTACTGGGCCGGCGATCACACTGCGACCGTACGGCGACCTGATTGGATCTGTGTGAACATTGGTTCCTTTATTCTTTTAATTATTGAAATTTTACATTGACAAAATGGATGGAGGGCAAAACAGGTAATTATTCACATTTTCCCGAAGATTACACAATGTACGTAAATGATAAATAGTATATAGATGCAAAGTGTAATAGAACATCTTCAAATGCAAAAACAATATAACGACAGAGATCAGAGTGAAGTAGCCATACACTTAGTTCGGCTACAGAATAATGTCAAATGATGTCCAGAATGAAGATGTAAGAATAAAAGTATGATTTAACACACAAGACGTAAAAATCGCCATACGGTCGTACGGTCGAGGAAATATGTGGAAATTTGGTATGGACGTTATTGATGTCTATCTGTCACGTCTTTGGTCGCCTAAAGGTCTTAGCACGATCGCCGCTCTAGCGTAAATGAGGCGTAACCAGAGGCCTTTGATAGGCGTCATTGATGTCTATCTGTCACATCT